TCTATCGCCGCGCTTCGATGATATTCATTTGAAATTCAAATTAACAACGAGGGCTTACCTGTTTATGCATTTCCACGTTCAGCCCGTAGGACATCTCGTAATACTGCAGCCATGAAACAGAGAGAAAAAAAGAGGAACGATATATTAGACGTGAGAGATATAAACCGGCGGAAATATAAAGAAGCGTGCTGCGGTTATAAACGTTAACGCGATGCTTGCGCAATACACGCGTCGGGTAAAAACCGGCGTTGTCTCGTGGTGTACGTGAGCTACGTGTACCCGATTCGAGCAGCGTTCGGCGGAGTCGAGCGACGGAAAGAAAATGGCCACGCAGCGATGTGGTCGAGTTCCCTTTCCTTTTCTTTCTTTCCTTTCCCGGTTCCCTTTTGGACCGTTTCTTTTTTCATTTCGTCGCTGCGCCAAGTCGGTCGGCTTTAATTGAATTTACCGAGGACATCGATCTCGCCGCGTCGGTGTCACTTACACGGTCCGCAAAGAACGTCGGTGATCGGTACGATCGAGATAAACCGAATTTGTGTCGAGACAGGGAGGATAAATAAATTGCGCCGGCAACGACCCTCGGGCGACGGCGGGAGGCGAATGAGGGACCGGATAAACTTACTCGAATATACTCAGGTGCAACTTATTATGCAACGCGCGGCTCGATTGCACCTGACCGGTCCCGAGTCGCCCCGGGAGTCGCGCGCGCTCTCGCCGATCACCGGTCGATCGATTCTCCGTAGATAATCAAACACGGGGCAGCATTAACGCCCAGCCATTATATAAGTAATACGCGCCGTCAGCTTGTGCCGCGCCGAACACGATCGCACGACCGAACGATCGCTCCAAAACTCATGAAGGAAACCAACGACCGGAATTCGGCTGAACGGACGGGAGGAGATAAAAGGGTACGGACACTATATACCGCGTAGTCGGTTAAGCCAAGCAGAAAGACTCCCAAGGGCTAATCGAATTATCGAGTTACCTAAACCGAGATGCTGGCTCGAATTCGTAATAACGTCCGAAAAGAACCCACCAAAGAGGGTCTTTAGGATCTTTAGGGTCTGTACACGGCTGTCGGGAGAGCCGAGATTACATCGATCGAATGAGATTACGAAAACCGGGCCAAATTGAGCCGTAATGCGAGGATCTCTCTTTCTTTCTTTCTCTCTCTTCCCCACTGTGAAAGGAGGATAAACGTCCGAAGAAAATGAGAAAAACGAAGAGGCATCGGGTCTACCCCTGCGGACCGACCAAGGAAGGATCGTGAAGGAGGGAGGAGGGAGCGAGAGTGTGCGGGTACGCGTTTGTGTGAATTGTGCGTGTACCGCGGACGTCCAAGACCGGTTTCTCGTAACATCGTTTCTACATCGTGTGTACAAGATCCCGTCCTGAGTATGGTTTAACTAATTCACCTACCGGACAGGGGTTCTCAACCGTCCCTTAATGTAGAGGTATACACGTACAAATTGAAAAGAAGTCGAGGGTGGCTGATCAAAATTTTGAAGAAGAAATATTTGATTGTCTTACTTTCTTGAGGAATTTCTATTGGTAATTTATCTATGAATTTTTCGGAAGGAAAAAAAGTTGAAGTTGGAAAGTTTTACCGGTGGAATTATTTATTATATGTAAAAAATTCTTGAAGATTGGTCAGATATATTAGACATTTGATATTTAATGCAAATACATAATACTATTAAGATTTTGCGTTGGAAATTAATTTTATCATTTTCATAACACCACTTCAGTGACATTAGTATCACCTAAGAGTCGAAATGTTTGATCCTTCCATAGATTCTTTATTGGCTCTGAAACCTGGAAACGTTCAGATTGAAAAACGTGTAGGAATCGTCTCAGTATTCGGAATCATTGGACTGTAGAGATTTTATACTGCAGAGACCAACCTCCCGTCATCCCTTTGAAATATTCGTCACATGAAACAGTTCAGAACCTTCAGGACCGCAGAATGAAAAGACCTAGCTGCCGCAAAGCTGCCTATATGCTACTCTGAAAGACTGCGGTTGTAAGTAGCAAAAGATGCCTCCGGTGATTTGAATATGTCAGTCTTTGAAGTCTCCCGGGAATGCTTTCCAAACTCTTACTCAACCATTTTGAAAACATCCTTTCCAAGGCCCATATTTAAGTAATTTAATTATTTATTCTTCCATATAATACAGTTCCCTATTTATTATGCCATCTACATTCAGTGCACGCGTACTCCACAAATTTCCAATCCTCACCACCAATCGATGCACCTAATTTCTGAACTAAAACACTTGAAAGATTAGACGTAAATACTCAAAGACCGATCTGATGATCGATACCAATTACGAACCGGAGGTGCTCGAACGTGATAAAAATTTTAATAAGCAGTAACGAACCCCGTTATCGATAACAAGCATACCACCGTGAGCGTTAAGTGGAAAACCATCAGATCCTACGGTTTCACGAACCCGAGCCGCGTGCACGGCTTCTCAACCCCTCGATTATGACTCATCTTTACGAGTGGTACTCTCGTGAGTCATCGCGACGGTCCCGGCAAGACTTTCGACCGGCGGAAGAGCGTCATTGGTACGTGTACACGGTGGACACGACATGAAAAAACAAGGAAAAAAACGAAGAAAGGGAAAAAAGAAAGGAAAAAGTCGTTGTGTTCGGAGTTCGTTCGGGGACGTTGAACGAAGGAAAAGAAAAAGGGGGAAAGAATGCAACGATAACGACTCCGCGAACTTGGAACGAGAGGCAGCGACACGAGACTAGGAAAAAATGCGCGCTCGTGATGGACTCGACGTCGCGAAAAAATGATACCTCCACGATTTTAACGAGCGTCCGGG